AAGCGTGGGAGCGATATTTGAATTGTGTATAGGTACATCGGTTACACAGAACGAATAATTCCAAAAACAATATAATTATATTTAATATAGAATTAAACAATGCAATTAATATATTATATTATAATAAATAAAATATAGTATTTTAATAATTTATTTAATTTCATTCAGATTCTTCATATAGAATAATTCTAATAACACACATTTTAATTATACAATTATTGTGTTTGTTATTCAAGTTGTTTGAATAACTACTGATACATGTGTCGTAGTGTAGAAATATTTTTAATAATACAATGCCGAGAGAATTTTTATATAGAAAATATATGATGTGTGCTCTCGCAGTTATATTTAATATTTCCAACAGACACAATCGTAAAATATTAAATACGTTATTATTATTTTTTAATAATGTGATAAAATAGTTCGTTTTAATTAAATTTTAATGTACATATATATGATATGTCCGAGTAGTAGGTGGTTCGGATGAGTAAAAGCAATAATTACGTGACCCATCGCATTAACATTAGCAACACTTTTTTCTATTTTGGAGCAAATAGTACTCGTTTTAACGAAAAGTTTTTATACCTCATTCATTCAAATAGTTTTGTTCATGAGTGGGATGGATGTTTTTAGCTGTATAGTTGTAGTACCATACGGAATACCATACAAAACAAATTTACTAATTCGTATTTATTTCTTGTTTCCAATAATTAGACATAATTTTAATCAAATGGATATCAAATTTATATATTGTATGAAAACTGTGATAAAATAATAATAATTTTCATTTATGAAAAGTGAATTCAAAATTTTAATGATAAAATAATGTAATTTTTAATAATAACTAAGTCATTATTTTTAGACAGACTATGCAATATCAAAATAATTGCATAATATTATTAATTTAATGACTAATTATTTTTTATTGAGATTTATTTTGTGTAAGAATAAAATGAAAAAACTAATTTAGAATACATTTGTTTTGAAATATGCTTGAATACATTAATTTTTAAGTATACAATTTTAATAAATAACCCAATAATTGTGTATTAAACTTATCAGTAAGAGTGTATGAAGAAAAAATAAATCTCTATAAATGTAAATGTCTGTAGATTATAAAAACAGAGTGAAAGTAAGGCATAGCATAATTATTTCATTATTCTGCCTTTACTAAATAAATCAAATTAGTTATAAAATTGAGTACCTATAAGTATTATTTTATTAAACCATAAGTTTACGTTGATCAAATTATAATTTACTTTAGATGCTATGGGGATCTCTAATTTTAATTTTCCTTTACGATATTGCTCCGATTATTAATAAAATAGATGTTTTAGATTAAATGTTTTATTTATATTTGGTGCATTAAAATATCATTTTTTAAGTTTTTCACCATATTTCCAAATAATCAAAAAAATTGATGAAAAATTACGAAAAAAAAAAAAAAAAAAACAGCTAAGTTAACAAGAATTGGTTTCGACAAAATTACATTTTACTATCTGACCCAACAATTGTCATTTTGTCATATAAATTATTTCTAGAGAATATTTTGCTAAAAAAAAAAATAACTAATATAATATAGGCGTGTAAGGATGTGTTATGTATGTGGAAGAGGTATGTAGTGCTGTGATCGGTGATGAAATATAAAAATGAAAAAACATCAAACATTTATTTTTTTAATAATTTATTAAAATTGATTCATTAAAATTATATAGATGGCTAATTATGACAATATTATTAAAAAACAATATCAATCCCTTAATGCAACAGAGTGTATAATATTTTTTGTTATCCCATCATTCGCCAACACAAAAAAATTAGATGATCCGAGAGCACGCTACGTATAATTGTCCGTGTGAAAAACATGTTGTGCTCAAATCTAAGCCAAATATAGACATTGTTTGGCCTTAAGACTCATTGATAGTCATTGCAAATGCCAATCTAATTGAAAATTGAAGGTGTTTAAATTGTATTAGCACATCTGTGGGTATAATAGGGATTTGCGGTAATAATATATTTTCACCTCGGAATTTGCCATTTAAAAAGATGGCTTCGATAACATTTTTCATTATTTTTTTTTAATGACTAATCGCGTGCCGTTGTACAACCATGGTGGGTTCAAATTACAAAGCAAAATAACCGGAGATCCAACCTTCAGTTGTAAATTATGCGGTGGCATGCCTGGTAAATCCAATGAGTTTAAAGACTCTGTTGTATAATTTACAGCTTCAGTAGCATTGCAAGCTGTATCAATAGATTTGTATGATACCAAGCCTCCTGGTAGGTAACAAATGTTGTATCTTGAGATTCGATTCGTTGACGTCCACATTTTTTGCTGCTAAAATTGCTCTTCCTGCCAGCCATTAATGATTTGTGAATTGTCTGTTTACATTGGGAAATATCTGCTCAATGAGAGCATCTTATGAATTGATGATTGTGCAGAAATCGGTCGATAATTGTGTGCATCCCGTTTCATTTGTAGTAACTTTCCCATCACCGATATCTAACAATTGTTTTGAGAATCTTCCGCACGCAGCTTTTTTTAATTGAATCGCAAGTATCGTAATCGTTCGTTCTCTATCTTTACATATATGTCGACCATGAATTGTTCACCAAGTTCTCGAAATCGTAGAATAACGTTGTCCTGATCGCATCTAATCATCAACCGATATGCATAAGAATCTTTCGAACTAACATCCTTGTTTGTTTTGGAACCTGTTGTGGGATCTTGTTGTTTAATATTTATGCAATACCCGTCATTTAATACCAAAAATAAAATTAATAGTTTTTAAATAGATTTTAATAGTTTTTTAATAGTATCATTTAATAACTCATTTTCAATTACGCAGTTATCGACCGGGTCAAAAATTATTAAATTAAACTACGATTAATTAAATAATAGCACTTTTTTAGCAATTTTCTTTTTTTCGTAAAAACCTTCTCCTGTCAATTACGAACAATTAAAAAAAAATTGAGCCAAATCGGCCCAGCCATTCTCAATTGATGAAATGTTATATATTTTTGGCTTCATTTTTATATATAAAGAGATTTTCGTCGGAATTAATTTAATATTATCGCGGAGACTGACATTTTTACTAAATTATAGAACTATATTTTTTTAGAGATTGTATAACTTTAAAAGATTATAACAGTACAAGTGTTCTGTTTCTAGATATTTAGAATTTAAATTTATTCTTAGTCTCTATTAGTAAAATGTTGATAAAATAATTTTGATTCGATAAAACACTTTGATGAGTTTTTCATAGGCGTTAGCGAACTTTATTAAGAATTAAAATAATTAATTTAACCCAAATCTCACTAAAAGTACGAAATCGTGTAGCTTAAAAATGAATCGCCGATAACAAACGTACGCAATCGTGTTTTACCCTTATTTACAATGTATTATTATGATGTAATCTGTAGTAAACATATTTTCTAAGTGTAATGATTTTAATTTGTATTCAATTAAAAATCAATCAAGAATATTTCCTAAGAAAAAAATCGTATAATTTAAAATCGCCTTTGAAAAATGCATAGAATCTGGTGTGCGACATTTTGTTGATGAAATGTGATGACGATTCCAATGGAATAACCTTCGACAGCACAATACAATAAATGGGTTTATATCTTAAACACGGAATCCATGGATGCAAGAGGAAAACATACCCTATTCCCCAGAAAGGATTTTTTTGACTTTTCAATATTTAGTAAAAACACCGGTTAAAAATATCCTAGACAATTTTTTTATTTCGAACGCACAAGTATGACGTTTTCAAAAATGGAAATAATATTGTTATTAATTTTTCCGTCGAAAACAAATAAAACCGTAGAGTACCTACATCTCATAAATATTTCGTAACATGTTCAAAGCTTTAAATATGCATAACAAATGAAAATCGAACTCAAATACATTTATAAACTTCTTTGCAGAAATGTCGTTATAGGGATACGTACGAAAACAACACCGGCTAACAACGGAGTCGTTTGAAAAATGTCCTTAAAAATCAGTGCGCGTAAAACCGATTTCGTTGGATTAAATGTTAAACAATGGCGTACTAGTTTTCGATTTCGATCGGATCTTTACCGAAACCAGCAATACCCAACGTTATTTTGGTTTCGACTTTTCACGTGCGCGTTTACGCACGTAAAAACGTTGAATATTCGATTCTGTTCGTCCGAACGAACGTATTAGACCGTTGCTGCGCGTCGAAATCGTACACCGCAGTACATCTGTACTGGCGAGACTGGACGGTCGCAAAACATAACCGGTCGTCTAATCCGTCCGCGGTCGAAGGGATCCGGTGTGGTACGCGTCAGGGTCGCGCGAACACGCGGTGGCACCAACGCGGTTGTTGTACGGTACGTGTCAACCGAAAACCGTTTCGACGGCCGTCGTCTTCGCACGAATCCTGTACACGCAGTTGTACGCCTAATGATGGAATGGGCAATAGCAACGAAATAACAGCGATAAGTCGCACACGAGAGGCCGTTCGTCACCACGAATCAAAGTCGCCTCCGCCGGTGCTACGTACATAAATCACGCGCTAATGCCACTCGCGCGTTATAGACGGCGCGCGTATGATGTACCCTTTGACGGATGTACGGCGCGCGCTTAAGCGCACAACACAGGTACCGGCTATTAATCAGGGACGGGGGCCCATTGTGCGGGGCGTAATGTTCGGCTGACGGTTAACCTCGTCGCGGGCACACACCAGTACACCGTAAGCATTATTCACTCTCCCGAACCTAATATATTATCTGTGGCGCGCGACCCCCGCACCCGCACCCCCCACGTCATGTCGAAAATGTCATTTGCACGCGGCCGCCGTCGCCCATATCGCATCTCGCGCACGCGCACGCACAAGCATATATGCATACGCACGGCTACGCGTACAGCGGCCGCCCGGACCGAAGAAACAATTTTTCAGTTTTTTTTTTTTTACACAGCGTCTCTTGTGCTCTAACTTATGTTGATACCGACTTTTTGTGTGCTCCGACAGGTGGCGTGGTTACGGGTAGACACGCAGACCATACTGACCATCCACAACCACGTGATCACGAAAAACCACCGGATCGGGGTGTCGCATTCCGACCACAGGACGTGGCACATACACATCAAGGAGCTCAGGGAGTCCGACAAAGGATGGTACATGTGCCAGATCAACACGGACCCGATGAAGAGTCAGCTGGGCTTCTTGGATATAGTCGGTGAGCACGGCAGCTATTACGCGTTATGGGGCCGCGTCGTTTACGGCCAAGCGCGCGCATATGGTAGTGCGAATATGTGTTCGCGTTCGTTCGATGGTTCCCGCGGGGTGGAGGACTGTGCATCGTATTACAATCGCTATCGGAGAGGTCGTAACCCTGCCCGTGTATAACAACAACGGATCGCGGGCTGTATATATATACGGACACGCACATAAGTGCGCGTTTGTATACCAGCTTTTATTTACTTTCACGTATCCTGCAGTTTGAAATATACTTTCTCGTCTAAAATTATTTCGTTTCATTCCGTTCGACACCGCATATCCGACCCTGTTTTACAGACGGAGGTTTTATATTCTACAAGTCCATTCGCCTTGAAATAAAACTCACTTACGCGTATGAAATTTAAAATGATTAAAAAACGACAAAAAGAATCGGTATTTCTAAAAATAAACACTAGAGTTTAGTCGACCATCGATTATAATGTACTGAAAGCAAAACTGACTGTATTGGGAAAATAATTCCTGTTTGTTTACACCATATTGATTTTTAACCGTTCGAAAAAGAATACAAATATAAAACACTTAGTGTATAGAATTAGTTCCAAAACTAATGTATGAATACGGAAATAGTTTATTCTTAATAGTTCTTACGACCCACTAAACCTATTTTCATCGATATTGAAAACAATATTAATTTCATTTTTAATTCTTGAAACTTATCTATATTAAATAATCATTATCTTGACTAGTTACAAACAACGAACTGAAATATAATATGACTAATATGACTTAGTATAATATCCATTTATGAATTAAAGTAATATGTGTTATAATATAAAGAGATTGATACAAGAGAAATAAAAATTATATTTGTATGGTACGATTGTGTAACTAGGTGTCTCTCCAGAATGTATTAAGTACGATATCTCCGACATTATATGACTAAACCAACAAACTAAACTCTTCTTTAATACATTTTCAGAAATTAGTGTATGTGTTTCAATTCAAAATTAACAAATCGTTATATTGTAAATTTGAATGGTTGCTATTTTATAGGGTTTGTTATTCTGAGAATGTTAATGGTTCAACTACTTATGCTCATAAACTCCATAATTATTATTGATTGTATAATATTTAGTTTCCAATTGAATTAACCTATAGCCGATTTGAATGATCTCTCACAATTTCAGTACGAGTATTATATACAGTAATTAATCGTATTTTCCGCGCACGTAAAGCGCGATCGAAAGACCACACTTCAACTGTAGCTATACACGTATCTCATATGATACATAATATAGTCGTTACTACTATTATATGCTTAGACGACTACAAAGGGCGCGACAACGGGAAGCGTAGTAGATGATGATGATGATGATGATGATAAATAATAATAATAATAATCAACAGTAAACAAATGCTTTGACATTTTTCAACCCTAATCATCTTTATCTTTTTCCGCATAACAGTCATCAATTACTGTTGATACTCGATACCTAATATTACTATTATACGCCTTTGTAGTTTCGAAATGGTTACTTCCATGTCCCGGCGGCTGTACATGTATTTATCATACAAGTGCAGGAAATAGTGAATTTCGTATTTCAAGCATATAATATTTACTTACAATACATCAATAATAAAATTATTCACTGGTTACGACGAATTTCAACTTTTCAATTCGTAAACTTTTTCTTGTTGTTTAGTACTAATACTGAAGAAAGCGCAATCAATAATATTCTACCAATTTCATTTTATATTCTTCGGAGTATTTGCATTATATTATATAACTGTGAGATCCGTTAAGATCTCTGAAAACAGAAATCAGTCGTGACTAGAAGATTTGCTATCAGAACTCTTTGATTCTGTCTTAGATGATTTCACTGGGTGTTACTGGTTTCCGCCAAAAATAAGCTTTCCGTTTTTTACTATTATCAGTAAAAAAACTAAGTGTGATGATAAAATTATACCCACTATGCAAAATATACCTACTATGAACATTATATATACATACATATATACTCGTATATATATATATTGAGGGTATGCAATATAATATATTTGTATTGGTTATTTTTTTAACTGGTAAAAGAATATCATTAAATACTTACTTTAAGGGGTTCCCAAACTTTAAAATCCTATAATTTATAATTGGCGGAATAAGGAATGATGTTTTTTTTTTTTTAATGTGGTGGAAAATGGTATTTGCAGAAAACGGGAAGCTAATTTTTGGCGGAAACCGGTGACACCCGATTTCACTTGAATATAGTATAACAATATTTTTGATTGGCTATAAGCCGTAAGGGACGAAGAGGTATCATACGGTTATATTGATTTTACGTTTTTTTTGATTTCCTTTAATTTCACTTTTTAGAATATACCATAATCCAAGATATAATATTCTTATTCAAGGTTAATTAAATTGGGTGATAGTGTTTTGGTTCCACTGAACAATGATTTTACTACTTATTCTTGATTCATTTTTGAAATACCTTCTACCAAATTCTCTACACCGATTGCTTTAATCGACGAAAATAAATCTTTGATTTTCATGGTTTCCATTACCGAAGCATGCCGGGTTGTAATTTATGCAGTTTTCGTTGTACCATTCAACTGGTTGTCACTGCAGCTAGTCAGTATAAATAATATGTATATTATAAATATATGTGTACATATTTTGATACGTTGCTTACGTATGTCAGCTTAATAAATTGACAGTAAGCACACGCACACGCAATTACAAAACTGTAAGTTAGCGAGTTAGATTATGAGTTCATTTGCGCATCTTGCATAGAAGTTACACATTATAGTGACGACATGATGAGTGCTGCAACAGTGATCTATTCAAAGGACTTAAAAGCCAATCTATGTCCCTTCTTCGTGGTACATATACCCGCACCACCCGATCGGGTTTTCCCTTGGACTACTTTTTACCCGTGTCACGCTTCGGGAAGAGGAGGTACCCGAAAGGGGTTTTATTGGCTGCCGCAGTCTGTGTGTTTGTACACTGCATATATTTACCCCCTCAGTCCGTTGTCATTTTGTATCCTCTATCGTGTTCACGTACAGAAGCCCACTGGAACGGTCTCTGTTAAATGGGTCAGAGGGCTCTTTGCGGAAAACCACAATGCTTCTCATTAGCATCTTATTGAGAGGCTTGGTGCCGCGAGAATGTGTATATACATATAAACATATAGCGATTATAAGTGTATACTCACTGGCGTAGGGTACACAATATACACTCGGGTGGGCAGACCGCAGGAGTGTGTTCATCGAGAGTTTATGCATTGCAGCTATGTGGCTTAATTACGACTTGTTACATACACACACATACGAGTACACTTGCATCCTCCGTAAGAGATATCGTTTATTCATTTATAACGCTTCGTCGACTCTACTAACGCAATGTATAGCTTATGGTCATTTATATTTCAATATATACACTCTCGTCTGTATATTTATGTGTTTATACTTTACAAAACATTATTTGTTTAAATATAATCGATGATAATAATGATATGTTAATTACTAGGGTTTTTAATATAATAGATATTCATCAGAAGACCGCTATTGCTAACGATGTATATCAAAGTAAATTTGGTAGTCAGCATACTTCAAATATCTATATGCTTATTGTCTAGTTTGAACGCTAGACAGTATCTCGACTTAAATCCCTTATTTAGGCGTCAAAAATAATGCCGGAGTTCATTCAACATCATCACATCAATAATGGGCTTTTTAAATTATCGTTCAATAATATTAAATGTTTCTTGTGACTAAAGAGCTGTAACTAGTAAGAGTAAAATATCTAGATTCATCATTCTGGGTGGATATTGCCTTCTTCCCGGAAATTGAACTTTAAAACATAATACAATTAAAAAGAAATTTGACTTAAAAAAAAAGAAAAATCAAAAGCAACATTATAAAAATCCAACATCGTATTATATTATAAACGGAAACATATTATAAATATTACATATTACGCCAACTTAAATAGAATAGGGTAAGCAACACCTAGAATTTCTTAGTTTTACCTATCCTATTGTAACGGATTCTGCCCGATTTACATTTGTACGAAATGATAAGACAGATAAAAATCACGTTCAATCAGACTTGGGTAAAATACTTTTTAAAAGTATTTAGAATTAATACTCGAATATTTACAAAAAATAGTATTCCGAATATGTATTCAAATACATTACAAAAATTGTATTTCAAATTAATTATTTAAAATACTTCAAAAGTATTCCGAATACTATTAAAATACTTTTAGTTTTCATACTGTAAAAATAATAGATGTCCATTCAACAGAAATATTTGAAATTGTAGACTAAATATATGTTATTGTATTATATTTTTATATTACATAACTGTTATAGTTTCTGGTTTACAAAAATAATAAATACCTAATATTAGCTTATACAAGATACGATGAAGAAGTAATAAAATCATTTAAAAAAGAGATGATTTAACGGTATTTGAAATACTTAAAAAGTATTCTGAATACAGTATTTCGAATATTGTATTCGGAATACTACCCAAGTCTGCGTTCAATTCATATATGACATACAAGAAACGACAGACACGCATTAATTTGATTCTATTTTCGTTTCGAACAGACAGTCAAAATATGATCGTATAGACCTAAACATAAAGGTTTCACGACGTTTCAAAAAAATAAAATTTGATGAAAAACGTGTAATTTTGTGTAAAATTGTTTTGAGGAATATAAACAACATATTATTTATACTATTATACAATTATATATTTTATGGTCCAATATAATAAAATACGTACCTATGTACTATTTCATAATAATAATTAGCGTAAAAACGTTTCTTTACAAATGTAATTTATAAATTAATTCAAATTCATAAATTCATAAAAATATGTATATTTTAAATTAATTAATTCCGACAGTCACCGACGGACCAACAAAACATTCTTTGCTCGAATGTTTTGTTGTGTATTGTGTTGTTACAGAAATTGTCGGATCGGTGTGAAATAAAAAAATGAAAAACCATATTATTCAATTATATTGATATAATGTTTTGTCATGTCGTTTCATGTGGTGTAGTACAAGTGTAAATTGGGCATTATTTTAATTTTTATTTTGTATTAAAATAATTACAACTCATTGTATAGCGAGCGCATAGGAGTAACATCAAAATATTGGTTTGGGAACGAAATTTCTCTTGTGCGCCAATTAAGAAAACCATATTTTAGATCTTTAAGGAGTACATAGTTTTTTGAAAATTAAATTTTCATTCAAAAAAATTTACTTTAATTTTTGTTAAATATGCATCTGGTAATAATAAAATATATGATGAGGTATTTAATAATTTCAGTAATATGTAATTAAAATATCATGTCTATTAGTTATTGAAGTAAATTTCTTAGAAGTTATTGTTCGACGTTTATCTTGCACATTAACATAACATATGAATATATTTATTTCACATACGCTAAAATTTAAACCGTAAACGGTGGATTTTGAGTTACAGATACAATTGTTATTTAACTTCAAATGACTAACAAAATATATATAAAAAAAAATTAGAAAAAAAACTTAGTGCACATTGGGCTCTTTAGGGCTAAGAGTTAGGATTTATGTTGTTATACTCCATAATTTTAGTTTATAATAATATATGGTTTTGTTTATCAATATAATTTTAAATATAATTACCTACTTTATTTTTCTTATATTGATACATATTTACAATTTCATATCAAACAACATTTAAACATAATCAACTTGTGTCATCTATTATAAAATATAAGAAGACAATTTTTATTTTTATATTTATTTGTATATTGAAATATTTTATTTTTTTTTAATTATTCTTAATTACAATAGATACTTATAATAAAAAGGATACATATCTATAACGTGTACCTTATTATCTAACACTATACAATATTATTATGACTGAATTTTGAATACATTCATCTATTTACGTACAAACACAAAAATATTCTCTTTACTCAACAGGTTAATTAACCTAGCCCGGTAAAAAGTGCAATAAAATTATCTAACATCTGATTTTATTATAATATTTTATAATAATAAATCGTTTTAATTTTAAAATGTCAAAATCATAGTTGGTGTGCTCTGATTGGAGTATGAACAAATCGAATATAAATTGTAACTCGTAAAATTGTTTTCTAATGAATATTACTCATACACTTCTAATAAACCGAATCGACACGACACTGTCGGATCCATTATTTACGACTTTAAGAGTTATAAAATTTCATTATGATGGAAACTGGTAACTGAAAAGTATTTATTCCTTTTTTTTTTTATTCAGACATTATTAAAGACGCCATTTTATAAATTATTGTTGAATATTGTGTTTGGTGCATAAGAAAAAAATATCTTCGAATTTTATTCGTTTTGACATTAATTTATACAATATTTCAATTAATGCACGTAAAAGGATTTTTGATTTTAAATTAAAAAGTGTAAAGGAGGAAAAATGTATATTTATAAATAAAGATAAAAATAAAACAAAATTGAAACAAAACCAACTACAGGCGCGAAACTAGGTGGCAGTATACCAGCGATGATGATGGTGTGCAATCCAGTTTAGTAAGTAATCGGATAAAAAATACGTCGTGGTTTTATACATATTATTATGCATATAGTATATATACGAGTGTATATACATATATATTTATTTACTTAATATAAATAAAAATCGTATTATACGCACCGCTGAAGGCGGTTCTTGAGTGACAAGTTTGTAAGAGAAAAGAGAAAAAAGTAAACGGTTGCCCGATAGTTGCCGATGTGTCGGTGTCGTCGGTATAGCTGCATAAGGAGAGCAGGTCAGGGGAGAAAAAAAAGTTGAAAAAAAAAGTCGATTTATCAGTTTTGTGCCGCTGCCACACTACGCTAGAGGATTTTTCATTATATGCTACAAAACTTCCCCTCTACACACATTCCTACAATTTGATCTCTTCGCTGTAGCGTGGCCACTGAAGTGTTTATGTGGTTAGAGCGACAAAAGATTTAATGAATCATGAAGTTGGAAGTAGAGGAAAATAAAAATAAACAGTTTCAATAGATCGTACGCGAGTCTGAGTAGAGTGAGTGAGTTAATGGTGGATTAAAAAGTTGACTACTTTTTTCTCGTCGAAGTCCATCCGTTCATCCTATTTGTGCATTAAAATATATAAATATATATAGGTACATATAAGCGATTTGACTTACTTTTCCATCACTCTCTCTCTCACTTCGGCTTCCTGTTTCTCGGTTTCTGTCACTCATCCATCTCACGAACAATTCCTTAAAATCAGAACATATTTTAAGTAATTTTCACTAGGTGGCACTTCAATAAAATTGTCTACTGTCGTAGTTCATAGACATGGTGCTCTTTTGCAGAGGAACATACAGGGAAAATCAACTCCTGTCACTACAGTCGTTATAAAAATGTATTGGTTAGTAGCACGATTACTGGGTAGCATTCAATTATCACTGGGGGGGGGGAACTAGTGCCACGTACTTTGTATGTTAAAATATGTTCTGCTTAACATTACACCTCAAACTCCGTCAGTCCTCCGCACGCGTTCTCTCGTTCGTTTCACCGTAGCCGCCATGACGGTGGCGAATCCAGGATTTTCTTTTGTGGAGGGATTTTGAAAAATGTTTTCCCTTGGGTGATATTTTTTATAACATTGCAGTCATTGATTGATAATAAAGTAAGATAATAGTAAGTAATATAATACACTAATTTAAATCTAAGACTACAAATTTCTTGTATGAACAGAAATACAAATATATGCTCTCCCCTCATATTTTTAAAAAAAAATGTTTTAACCCCCTCCTCTCCGTAGATCCGCCACTTCACCGTGGTAGTTCCATTCGGCCGCGCGTCCACTCGGCCGACGTATTTATTATTTTACACACGAATCCGATATAATCAATCGCGTTTTTCCAGTTCCGCCGGACATACTGGACTATCCGACCAGCACGGACATGAACGTCCGGGAGGGCAGCAACGTGTCACTGAGATGTGCGGCTTCGGGGTCACCCGCGCCCAACATCACGTGGCGCAAAGAAGGCACGGAACTCATACGGCTGGAACGCGGCCAGCAAGGTCAGTACTGTTTTGTAATATAATCAGCGGTTATTTGTACGGTTTAATAACAATGTATGTACCTGCGTTCGTCGTGCACACCGTTCTCGCGATCGATGCACTTATACATTGTGCACGTCAAACGTATGAAATTAACGTCGTTGGCCCTAGCCTACAGTATTACGATAGCGGAGGGGTGTATCGTATTATTTATATGTATATATACGTGCACAGGGGATCTCTTCGCCGTCGTCGTCGAAATGGCCCTGTGGATGCCAAAACCTCTAATACGTCGTAACCTGTGGTGTTCGTTCGCAGTATACCTAATACACGTATCGCGATTGCAGTGTGCGACGGTGAAATAGGTGTTGCCTATGGTTTTGATTAAACATGATTTGTTGCCCGTAGAACGCGCAACTACGTTGAAATATTGTATTCTGATTTTCAATAGGAATAACGAATATTCGTCAGCATCGCTGCTTCGTCTAAAAACTGAATTGGTTGTAGTATATAAATCTCAATCGTTTTGTCATCTTCGACCGAGGAGTTTCAATCCTAATATTTACTTCGATCGCGTCTACTGACAATCACACGGGTGGATACGTGTAAAAGCAATAACGCAATACTCTATGATATTCGCATTTCAAAATGTTAAATTTAACATCAAAAATAAAATAAATACTTTACAATAACAATAATAATATAACGTTAATGTATACCTTTTTTTTACATGTTCTTTGCACTGTTCTTAAGTATTTCAGGTTTTTTAAAATAAAAAAAAAAATTGTTCAAGTTATCAGTGTTTTAATAAAACAGATGCTCTTTTATTTGCTCAACTGTTCAAAACTAATCAAGTGAAATGTATTTGAAAAAAAGAAGACAAACTAAAGAAAACGATTCGTTTAGTTCACATCTGGCAATTTTGCTAATGCTTTAAAAAAGAAATAGTATGACTTTTATGTATTATAAACATGATAAATTTTCCATCAGGTAATGCTAGTCACCGTATTTCTACCAAATACGATTTTTGAAAGCTGTTGGTGACAAAAATATAATACTAAATGCTATGTGCACATTAATATTCAGAGAGACCCGTCAATGTCACATATGTACAAATATTATAAGTTGTAATATCTAAACATACTATCAACTTATTTCAGCCTGTTATTAAAATATATATTTTATAAATGTATGAACTAAATTGATATTTTTTTTAGTTGTGAAACACTGGATACTTTTTTAATCTTGAAATCACTGAGCTTATAACAACTTATAACAATGTTTGATAGTTCTAAAGATATAAATGAATATTATCATGTGATAACTAAGTTGTCTAAAATAAAATCAATAAAACAAATTTGAAACGTTACTAATAATTTAATAAATGTTTATCTGTTAAATATCTTTCAATAATGTCAGCTATTTTAAGATTAAATGATTTTATGACACTCTTCGACGGAGTTTTCATAAAAATGGTTAAAAAAAATGTATTTATTTTCTACTGTTGTTAATTTACTCCTATATATTTAAATGACAATTTTAATTTGCAATTAAAAAAATACTGTAAAACAGTTAGACTGAATTTAAACGATGCGTACATTATTCGATCATACAATATAATTCACCAATCTCTTATTTAAAACACTCTTGGTAACTTAGTTATTTTGATAAACCAATCTCAATGTACGTTCTTATTTCAATTTGAACATGATAGTTAGAATATTATAAGGCAAGTACCGCCGTACACGACCGTTATGGTAAGAGACATAAGAAAAAAGTTTAAATAAATAACCTTTTAGCATTATTCAATTGCATGCACATCTTATATCATTTTCTAACGATACGCGTATACACACTTCTTACGTATGTATGAATAGTCATGTATGTGAATAAAAATACTTTTGGAAAAAAAAATTAAATAATGACGAAAATAATATCGTTAGAATATATTCGCTCATTGCAAACATTCGAAATTTGAAAGGTTTCGAAGCGTTTCAAATTAAGATATTTTAGGCAAAAATCAAAATGTTTATTTAGTTAAAAAAAAAATAATAATAAATATAGTTTACGAATACTTAATTGTTGGATTTTTAAGTTAATCGGCCGCATATCTATCGAGCACTAGTGATGAGGGACTAGAAAATAATAACAGGAGCTAAAATATATAATTTTACGCACATAATTGTACGTACGCATAATAATATAGTATTGACTGCAATACACGATGTTAGTATTTGACGAATCAAAATATGCAAAACCGGCTTCTGGAGTTCGGAAAATATTTGTTACTATTCAATATTACGTTGCGTAATTATTGTCGGTCGAATGACGATAAATCCAATCGTAATATTGGTGTATTCGATATCGTGAAAAACGTACCATTTTCACTAGCTGTAGATTATAACACGAGGTAGTCTGGTCTGTGCATGTATTGTGGAAGTATAATAATAATGTAGCACGGCGTTATTAACTGATTAGTGGTTAGTGTACATACCTTTAGTTTGTGATTCCGTTATCGTTATTTCCTTTTATAGTTAACTTGACACAAAATATTAAAACGGGAGCTCATCAATTTATACTGTGGTACTGTGGTTTAAGTCTCAGAGGAATTTCGAACATTACTAATTGCCCCTTAAACACGCGAATATTATAAATGTTTATTATCTATTAATCACTTGACCATTTATTATATCATCATAATATGTTGTTTATCATTGGCAATTGGAGTTTCTAGTTTAATTGTTATTATCCTTGTAGCAGGAAAAACAAGTTATACATGTATTTTACACTCGGGTCAGCAACTAATTATTTCATTTTGAAACAATTGCACCTTTTCTATTCGTACCGAATCCAATACACCAAACGTTATGGAAAAACTTTCTGATTTGAATTTATATTTGAACAATTAACAAATCATTTGGACGAGTATCTATACTTTGAAATAAAAATGATTGAAAATGCTAAAATAATTATAATTTACTGGTTTTAAGGCCGATAAGTTATAATCCTTTTTAAATCCCATAGTTCTACTAAAATATAATTGCAACAATTTTTATGTATACAACGATGTATTTTTGTATGATATGATATGATATATGATATGATAACGATATGATTTTATGTATACAAAAACGATAAAAGAAATATTATTGACATTAAATTCATCAACGTTGTTTCATAATGTATAATATTATATGGGTTAAAAATATTAGATATTTATCAATTAAGGTGATGATATTATTCTTAGGTTTTTATAATTGTAATTCGGACATTTTCAACTGATCAATTTCTCTGCTAGATGAAAGCCAATTTAAATAATTTAAATAATATGATTAATAATTAGTAGTGTAGTTATTGTTATCATTCGATTTTATCGATTCAATTTGAGTTGCGTTTATAACACTCAAAAACTTTTAAATTTATGAATTTAAATATATAAACAACTGCATCGATAGTACATAAAAAAAAAAAAAATTTAACAAAAGTACACATTGAAGAAATTGAGAAAGAATTTTACAAGTGTTATAATATTGTGGTTTTGTTCACTTTGATAGTATATTAGTAAATACGCGTATTATTCATTCTGATTCTGCAAACATATTTTTTTATACTACCTTTTTGACGAAATAATTGATTGAAAATTTAAAGTACATAAAAATACAAACAATGAATTAAAATAAATTACATACAACATTTTAATAGGTAATTAACATTGTATTAATATAAAAATCGTTTTCTTATTTTCTTGATACATTAAATAGTTATATTTTTTAAAATTTATTGTGTTTTCAGTTTTAAAAATATTGAACTGTCATGTCATATATAATCAATTGCTCAAACAATTTATAGTGAACAACTCAAAATTGTGTATATGATATTGTTTTTTTTTCTTTTCGTAGTTTCGTTTTAAACTATCGACCGATAATAAACTAATCACCTCAAATATTCTTTGTTACTAACTAATACTTATTGTAAGTCAACAGAAATTGAATGGATATATTTTTAAAGATTTAAAGTTCCTGTTTCCACACTTAACGAAATTAATTAAATGTTACTTATAGTTTTTCTTGATTTTTTTGTATTCCTTAAATTGTATAGCTCCTTTAAATCCACAAGTTATATAAAAAAAAGTTCAGCATCATTTTTCCAGCGCGTTTTAATAACTATTTCTTTCAAAGTCAAAAAAGTATACCTGCCCTTGTTATTAACCCAATTTTATATTCACTCGATCGTTTTAAGTAACTATAAATTATATTATAATAATAAGAATTAAAGATTTATTAATATAATTGTAATTATAGTATACTTGTAACTTGTGTAGTATGAATATTAATAGAAACTATGGATATTCGTTGTCAACACTTTTTTTTCAATTTAGAAAATTATATAATCTGTATGCCCATGGTGCAATAAATATAAAAGTTAATATAATATAAATCAAAACAACAGCATCAGTAACAGATAATTATTTACGGTATTAACTTATCATTTTCATTTATCAAAAAAATCCTAAGCATATAAATAAATATTATTATGTATTTAATAAACATATTATGATATTATTGTTTATAGCAGGTGATTTGTATGTGTTAGTGTATAACTAAATATGCCCTGAAAAACCACATATAAAATAATATAAGATTATAATATGTAAGTTTTCAGAAGTCTTACTGATATGAGTAGGTACGTGTTAAGTTGTTTAATAATTATCAAAATCAACAAAATGCATTACGTTACGTATTATACACACGATGTTAGACTTTAACTGAGTTTCGAGTCACAAATGTATTCGTTGAACCATAAAATCTAAAGAAAACTCGAAATCAACTACCTACTCGTATTTACGCAAATATCAAAATTATTTAGCAACGTTAACGAAACAATTCATGCACCTTTTCTTAGTTCGATGGTACATAAATATTTGAATTTGTCAAAAATGTTGACCCATCGGTTACAATAATGATATATGTAGCTTGCACGGACACTCTTATTAAATTATCTAATGCACGTTGTACTAGCAG